TGTGTGTGTGTGTGTGTGTGTGTGTGTGTGTGTGTGTGTGTGTGTGTGTGTGTGTGTGTAGTAGTATATATATATATATATATATATATATATTGGCAGTTTAAAGATAGCAACCAGTATATCCAACTTTCAAGTATTGTTTGTACTTTCACATTATACTGTAAAAGGTGTAGCCTTTTACTGCTTATTGAAAAGTTATTTACTTTTACATCCAAGCTCTTGAGAATTGGAAAAGAGTTTGATCCAAGATTTTTATATTATAAAATACAGTCTCTAACTTTTTGGTTTTGCAGACAAAGCATACTGTTAGACATGTGTATAGCTAACACACCTTAGCTTCCAAGATTAGAAAAGTAAGAACCTGTCCACTGTATATATAAACAAGTAACTACGTTCATCTTCTAAACTATCTGAACTGGACAAAAGACCTTTCTAGTTTAACATCTTTCAGATGAAACAAACAGTGTATACTAACCAACTCTCAGACTCTAGTCTCAACACTGGCAAGTTGTCTGCTGTGGGTTCCAACTGTGCAGCTTGTTTCATAAGAGATGTGATGACACCTGCTGCCCTGGGATGAGCTGTTCCCTTTGCTGATGTTAGAATTCAAATTATAATTTCAACAGATACAATTCATGTTTATTGTGTTACTCTTTATGTCTTAATTTATTAAATATTATTATTTACTTGGAGCTCACTGAAAAATAAGCTTTTCAAATGTATTCTCTTATAAAAAAAATTGAGGTAACATATATCAAATATATATGCACATACATACACATGTACATCAAACTTTTAACAATGTGAAAATACTTAGGAGTAAATATATTAACACAAAATTTGTTGACAACAATTTAATACTTCAGTCTCAGATATTTTTAAAAAAATGTATTTTTTGTATGATTACTATCAAATGTTCCTTTTGTGCTTTTCTGGAAAATTATACGTGTTCATTAGTTTTCTAACTAGTATATTTTGTGTTAAAGTATTTGATTTTATATATGCATATTCTGACATGAAACCAAACTCAGATTTATTTATTTTTTTAAATTAAACCCTAACATGTAAAATAAAATATTTTTTTTTTTCACTTGTATATTCAAAATCCTTTCAGTAATTGAAAATAAAATTACAAAATGTACCACTGTAAAATTAAATAAACTACTATAAAATTAGTGAAAACAAATCTGACATAAAAGATTTTTATGTAAACATCGATTTTCTTGATGACTTGACCCCTGTCACCACCAATACTGGCGACTGCCCTGTGGATTCTGGGTCCGGTGGGAGCTTGGCTGTTAGTTTCTTCCTCACTGGCCCCCTTAAAGTATCCTTAAGGTTTCTTCCATAATATTTTGTTGTCCAATAATTTAGTATCTCATTCTTTGGTTCAATGAATTTTTTAAACTATGTGTGTCGGTGAGGAGAAGTTGGGAAGATGAAGGACAGGAAACAGGAATAGGTGGCATATGAGGCTCTGACCAAGACAAACAGGCTACAAAAGCCATAAAGGTTGATTGCTGGGGAACTGATGTCACCCGAGGCTTGATAGTTTCTGGGACTGTATCAAAGATGTAACATCTCAGAAAAGGCACAAGATGTAAATCTCTGAGATATGTTGAGGGTAATATCACACAAGTCAAAGCTGTGTCCCGATCTATGAGGTTTCAACAACAAAGAAATGAGTATTTAATGCCAGCGCTGAAGATGAAATGCAGGCTGAAGTGAAGTGTATGGTATCTGCAGAAAACCCCTCAGGATTTCTGTGGAGAGCCTCCATTAGGAGATGTTTGGACGAAAGACACCATAAGAGGCTGGTTAGGGTAAGACATAGGCAAGAATATTGGACATGGGTAAGACTAACATTTGATTCGGGAGCCACCCCTAAATTGGTAACAATGAACCTAACAACTGCTGATCTAAAAACAAATAGTCTGTACGATGGTAAGAAAGGGCGAACAGATCAGAAGTCTTCAGGGGGGTGTGGCATGCTGATCCCCTCATTTAATTGGGAGACAAATTTATCCACATGTACCCAAATATTAGGGGAGGGAGGAAAAACAAAAAATGGTTGGGAAGCTTGTTCATGTAACAAGGAAGGATGAGGTTAATAAGAGATAAGAAAAAGGGATAAAACATCATAATCCTGAGACGAGGCACATAATCTGTAAATACCGAATTAGATCTATGCAAATTGTCAGGCTGCAAATGGGAAGGAACAGCAAACTCTGAAGGCAGAAAAATATGTTAAAAGTCCTCATCAATCTGAACAGTATTATATAGTTAAAATCCTAGCATTGTTAAATTTTTAAATTGCAATAATGAATTTTTTAATGATTCAACAGAGGCATGTAGACAAATTCACTCCAAATGCCAGGATGCTGAGATTGAGCTGCAGATGGCAGAAACTCTTAAGCATGCACCAAGTAAGTGGTGGATACCTGTTTCTGATAAATGTATTGACAAATAAAGTGATGCACTCATATTGATCAAAATTGTTAATTATTTTACACAATTAAATATAGCAATTAAAATATACAAAACATAATATAGCCACATTTGAAATGCATTCAAGACAAAAGTAAAATAGAGAATACAATGACATCACTGCTAAGTCATGTACCAACTTTGTCTGAGCTTCATATTACATGAAACATAATATTCATTTTTGGCATAAACTTAAGTGCAACATTATTTGTATACCAGGTGTTTATAGTAATTAATTTAATCAACATTGTGTTGACATATAATAATATTATAGTCCTTGACAGAAAGATGAAAATACAGATCTCAGACCTTTAGATTTGTGATTTTATTAATAGCTCTGTTGGTCTGTCATATTTACAACATGAGCTGCTTTGAAATCTTCCAGGACATCCACACCAACTCCCACAGCAATACAGTCCGATTTAGATGAATAGAGACTATATTAGAATTATAGAGATGAAAAAATTTATAATTTATTTTTGTAACATTGTATCAAAAAAATGTATAATTTGTTTTTGTAACAGTGTATCTAAAAAATGTGTAATTTGTTTTTGTAATGTTGTATAAAAAAATGTATAATTTGTTTTTGTAACACTGTATCTAAAAAATGTATAATTTGTTTTTCTAACATTGTATCAAAAAATTTATAATTTGTTTTTCTAACATTGTATCAAAAAATTTATAATTTGTTTTTGTAACATTGTATCAAAAAATTTATAATTTGTTTTTCTAACATTGTATCAAAAAATGTATAATTTGTTTTGTAATGTTGTATCTAAAAAATTTATAATTTGTTTTGTAATGTTGTATCTAAAAAAATGTATAATTTGTTTGAATATAGAATATAAATCGATTGCTTAGATATAATATAATCATAATTCTATATGTTTAATAACTTTGATACCAGATGTCAGTTACTGTTACAACTATTGCCTAGATACATATTTTAAAGCAGTGTTCCACAGTTTAACGAATGTTTTCGCTCAGTGCATTGTTGCTCAATGAAGGCTCCGGTAAGAGGGCCGAAAGCTTGCAATAAAAGTATTTTAACTTAGAAAAAGTATGTTTATAATTCTACACACATTAATTTACCTACATTATTAGTCTTAAACAACAATTGTTTTTGTAATGTTGTATCAAAAAAATTTATAATCTATTTTGTAATTTGTAATGTTGTATCAATGATATTGAATAAATGATATTACTTCTCACATATTTTTCCAAATAAATATATTGAAAGTATTCTGGGTGGAGCTGAAAGATATAAACAAGATACAAGAAAGCAATGGAAGGTTGTTACAATGTAGTAGAATGGTAATAGGTATGTAACATGTTGGTAACATACAAAATTGGTTGTATATTGGTAGTTCCACTACATAGTAATAATGTCTCTGGTAGTCCACATTCTTGCGTAAATGTGTTTGCTTGAAAAAAAAAGTGAATCATATATAAGGGGTTACACACAGATTTTTTGTTTTGTTCTAATTCACATGATAGTCTATCTATTGAACCTGTAACTGTGTGTGCGTGTATACCATGTACAATTACTGAAGACTTATTTTCTACTGGTGCTACAATACTCTTAAGTTTTGTTTTTTGTATTATTGTTTTGTTAAGCATTACAAATGTCTAAAAACAAATGTACTTATAAGTAAAGACAAATTGACTTAGCTTAAAACAGCTTACAAATTAACCCATCATCATTTATACATGAAATTATTCCAAAAATAAATATCCAAAATCAAAAAAATTGCATCAAATGTTTAACCAATGGTTTCAAACATTTCCAGGCATTATTCATTTATTTTTAAACTCACCAGAAAGTCACAGAAATATGCTCTTGGAAACAACAATCAGTAAGAGTATACCTACATGACAAACAAAGTCCTTGAGCATCAGCACACAAAACTCCAGTAACTCCTGGTGTGTTAAACCTACACCCAAATTATACAATGTGTTAAAATGTACTACATAATCATTCAGGATTATACAAGCGTACTACATATATACTGTACGTATTACAATAGACAGAACGTTGTTGCATTAATGTATCATTTTAAGATTCATTTCACAATGAACTGACTGATACTTATCTAACACAATACTTAAGAAAAGGCTACATACAGATGCAACCTAGATAAAAAAAATGAAGCTGTTTGTACAACATATGTTAATGACTTTTTATTTTACATTAAGAGTTTCAAACGGGTTATATATTTTCTTAAAATTATTTCATACTTTCCCTTTTCCACCAGAAAACAAAATGCAATGGAATGGTCTAATGTTAGCATAACTTTCATCAAGTAGAATATCTTTTGAGTATTAAATAAAGTAATAGAAACAGAAAATTAAAACCTTAGAACTTTTTTATAGCTACTTAAAAATACTAAAATACATACACTTCATCCAAACATCTATCCAGAGGTTTCTCCATTCTACAGTTTGCTGATCTTCAAGATTCTGAACAAGCAGGTAACTATAAATATTCAAAGAAACAAGTGCAACTGCATTAAAGCTATAAATATTCAAGACACTTGTTAAAGATACAGTTTAACATATCACCAAAACCTTTATATAGAAACAGTGGGTCTGACTGCATCTAAGGGATGTTGAACACCTATAAAGTTCTGAATCTATATAATACAAGGAAAATATTTATAAACCTACATTTCCCTCAATATATAATAAATTTATATTTAGAAACAGCCTAACAATTTTCGTGTAGTACCATACAAGTTTTCCATGATCATAACATCTGCAAATCATTTCTAAAATGCTGTGTATCTATAGAATAAGGTTTAACATTTTTATTCCACTAGCACCATGCAATTCCCTTTATACTATTATTTTATACAAATCTAACTTTTTCTTAAATACATCAATATTAGCCTGTCTCTAGTTGGTTGACTATGATATTTTTTTATAACTTGTGCAACATATAGCTTGAAATAACTGGATAAAAAATACAGTTGCATACATAGTGATAGAAAGAAAGAGGTGGCAAAGAAAGAGAATTCTTCAAAATGAAAAATAAAGAATTTAGCATTTTTCTACACTGAAATGCATTTCTGATAGATTCCTCACCTCCTCTCACAAAATAGCCTTTCTGGACTGGTACTGCCCTCTTTTGGCACAAATTTTCAACACATGCCACTAGCCTCTCACCTACTGCCTTCTGCATATCCATATGCAAAGGATCATGCAGCAGCTCTCCACCAATAGGAGCACAACACTACTCCTATCGTAACCAGCACCCTCTTCACATCTGCACTTGTTAACCACTTCAAAATTGGTCAGAAGACCTATACCATATATCATCAGAAGTGGGGTGGCTTGGTGGGAAATGTGAGAGGAAGTAAGTATCTGTCAGAAATACATTTTTCAGTGTAAGAAAAATGCTAACTTCCAATATGATATTTTACCTCCCTCTCACAAAGTAGCTAGAATCCCACACTGAACTGGTGGAGGGCCAATAAAAAAAAAGAGCCTAGCCTGTCTTTTCTTAAATTTGTATCCTCTCATCATATTCTTTTCAGAATATGGCACAAAAAAATTAGAAGTCTTTATATATTGATCCCACAGATATTTTAATCTTCAATAACTTTCTTTTCTCGTTAGAAAATAAGCTGAGGTCTTAACCTATCCCTATAACACTTTCATCACAGGAATAATCCTTGTAACCCTCCTCTGAATCCTTTTCAACAAGTTAATATACTTTTTAGGTAAAAAGTAGAGCTGGAGATTGTGGTATTTGCTGCTTGATTAACCAACAGGTTCATTAATTGATTAAATTAGATTAATCAATTAGTGCATGATCCTTATAACACCTTCCACACACACACAAGCAAAAAAAAAGAGGTGTACATTACTGTCATAACTTTTTCAAACACTGAATTATTCTACCATTATTTTGCCAAAATGTTTTTAAAAGCTAACCTAGACATTTCATATTTGGCAAATGAGTTGCTAGCATCAATTAAATTACACAACACAGTCACCTTTATGTTTATTTCTAAAATATGTATTAATTACACACTGACATTCTATAAATTAAATGGTGATAATTAAGCAAGAAAAGTATTTTAATATCATCGATAAGGGTAATTTTATCTAAAACATATCATGATTGCAATTACAAACAATTAAGTGGCCAGGTAGCCAGTTTATTTATGTACGTTGTTTGGATATGATAAACATAAAAATTATATTCAGTAAAAAATTGAATCATTAGAATATTTTGCAGTCACCTATCATACAAACTAAACAATAAACTAAACATCTGATTTTATGATGATTCTATTTGATGAAAAAACAACTCAAGTTTAGAAACATTGCAACTCAATAAAACTATAGTATATCTTTTAAAAAGTAAAAAAACTAACTTTAAACAAAGAACCAAACATGAACAAGACATACATTTATTGAGGCTTAAGTAATCTCCAGTCATATGACTTGTTATATACTGCATACATATTCCTATGTCTAGTTAACTAATTGCACCTGACAATAACAAGACCTTCTCCAAATATTGTACATTTGTCAGTGTTAAAATTGTAATAGTTTTTTTTTTATTACCTATTAATTCAGTCTCTAAATTGCTTAAGGTTATCCTATTTCAAATTATCTGATGTCTTCTCACTGAAGATAATTTCTGTAGCTTTTAAACATCAACAATTCACAAACAAAAAAGAACTTAAGGAAACATTTACAGAAACTTTAAAAAATTCTTAGAACTTTATATTTAGTATACTATGATATGATAGTGTAATTCTTGCTCGATGCAATCATATTTAAACTTTCTTTATAGCTGTTTTCAAAGCTGTTTCATTAGTAAATGATAAACCATTTGATGTGATACAACACAAAGGTTCAACCAAGGCCTGTACAAAAACAAATGGAAATGCTTGAAAATCAAGAAATTGATAATACATTCTTAAAGAGTGAGAGGTTCTTGACAAAATTGTTATTCTTTAGGATGGATAGAAAAATTCAGAAAAAATAATAAAAAAGTAGGTTTTCTTTACATGAAAATCTCTTTGCTGCTGTGCAGAAATAATAATATTAATTTTTTTTCTTTATGAATTACACAAAATAAATATCAGGAGATTACAAAATATTCATTTTAATATATCTACCAGTTAATATTATTGATGTATGGTTAGAATTATCATATAAAGTTGACTAAATTTGTGTCTCAAAAAAATTTATCAAGTGGTGAAAAAAAAAGAAAATGTTGAGACTTCAGGTATAATAATTTAGGATTAAGTTATTTATGAATCCTACTTTGTACATGAAGATGTATCTATCATTCATGCAATTCAACCACATAGTTTAACATTTAGAAAGATCAAAAGATTTATTTACTTATCAGTCACTTGTAGCAACAATACTTTTACACTTTTTAGACTTGTTATTCCAAACAATTCATTATTGTTTAACATGTTTATAAAGTTTACAACAATGTTGGGGGCTTAAGTATTGTATCTATAATTTCAGTTACTTAAACACTTCATACCTGTAACTCAATGAGGGAAATGAATAACCATAAGTGATTTTATTTATTAGATAAACAAGTATGTAGCCAAAACATAAACCTAGTATTTTTTTTTATATCCTACACAATGCCTAAATTTAAAGTCAAACAACACACAAATTAGAAAAACCTTCAACTTGTTTTGTAAAATGAAATTTGATAATTATAACTACCTTGCAAAGTTAGAAAACCATTAGAGAGTGAATAAGAGTAAAACTAGATAATATATCAGTTATGTAACACTAAACAAACTGTCAGTAGCTTTTACATTAAAGAAGAGTTCCACTATATTAATATAGTATTATGGATTAATCAATGATGACTATATAGTCCTAAAGTAACCTATAGTTATAATTTTCCTATACTGAAAATGTATTTCTGATAGGTACTTATTAACAAGCTATTCTTGTTAAGTGCTGCCCTCTATATGCAAAATATTTTTTGTGCATTCCACAAGCCTTGATGCTCCCACCCATCTGGAATTGACTATTCCAATTCATCTCACATGCAAATCATCATGCTGCAATCCTCCACCAAGAAAAGTGTGACATACTCTCTTGACCCATGTGACTCCCTCTATTCAATTCTATCAAGATCACTTCAAGTTTAGGCAGAATATGGAAGCACTGGTTTTCAGTGGGGAGGAAGGGTGAGAGGAGGTAAGTACCTACCAGAAATACATTTTCAGTATAGGAAAATCATAACTTCCAATACGATACATTACGTCTCCTCACATAAATAGGTATAATCCCACATTGAACAGGTGGAGAAACTGGTGTAAGGGAAAGAAAGAAGCATACTTCAAAAGCATCTAAAAGACACTTCGAAAAAGAGATCTTCAGAATCAAAAATCATACATGGGAGACCACACCACATCTGTACCAGGTATACTCTTCATCCAGTGTGGAAACAGGTGTCAGTATTATAACAAATAATTAAAAACAATGATTCCCATTTACACAATTTAAAACTATTAAAGCCACACGGCTTCCACTTTAAAATGATAATCTACATGTACAAGTTTCGACATGATCTACGTCATCTTCAGGAGTTACTTACAAGACATACTTTATACTTTTACCTCGTGTCCCATTGCTTCACTATTATTTGCATATTTCCTTGGTCTACTCTTTTTTTTTAATTATTATTATTATCTTTTATGTATCTTGCCGTATATCAATATATATGAATCTCAATCCCAAAATATATAAATGTGGGTGAGAGTAAAAGGATGTGCCTCTAGGTGTTGAGTGGCTAGGGCAAGACAGACTGTACATGGCAAGTCAACTACATCCAAAACCCAGGCTGTCTGGAACTGACATCCACAAGGGGATAGGAAAGAGGATCATACAGCCAGCAAGTCGACTACAAAACAAAACCCAGCCATCTGGTGAGGGTAAGAAAGAGGATCATAGCGTCTTCACCTCAAGTTCATGAGACCAGAGGGAATCTCGTACCCACCAACTTATGAAGGGGACACATTATAGCAACATGAGAAATTGACTGATCAATCCAAAAACCTGACATTTGGCATCAAAAAAATGTCTGTGTATGTAAATCATCTCACTCAAAATCAAAATGACAGGAACCACCCCAATCGCAGTAACATCCTTGGAATAATAAGAACATCAAGGGGTAGCAGAAGAGGAAGAGTCATAATAGTCTGCATGACTCACAACATATACAGAGTAACATGAGCATAAATGTGAGAGGGAACAGACATCATTAGTACACGCGTGAAGACTCGTGTTGACTGGTTCTGCTCTAAATCCAAAACCCAGCCACTGGAAACCAAACATCCATGTAGGGGTAGGATGAAGGATCCTAATCGAAGTGGTGAACTGCAATTTTGATGGTTCACTCCAATGTTACATAGTGGAGGACATATCTAGCAGAACACCACCACCCCTACTCTCAACTGAATGGTTCTTGTGTGTGTGTGT